AGTTCTGGCAAATATGATACCTTGATATCCTATACTTCTTATGTTTGACCCTGAGGAATTGTGCAGTGATTTGTCAAACAACAAGCTAACTGGAACTATTCCATCCTACTTTTCTGGTCTCCCTAGGCTTCAACTATTGTAAGTTATCTTCTGTCTTGCTCGTTCTTCTTCTTCTTCATGCTACGAGCGAAATGCAATAAACTCTTTACCACCCTATCATACTTACAAATTGAGTATTGTTGGATTTCTCGGCTGAGAAGTTATTGTTTTTTGATATTGCTGATTATCTCAGTCACAGGATAATAGATCGTTATTTTATCACCTATGATTTCCCATGTCAGGTCACTTTCAAACAATTCACTGAATGGCAGTGTTCCTTCCGCCATTTGGCAGAACCGGACTTCAAATGGAATGCATGAATTGCGTTTGTAAGATCTTATACGATAGTTCCCAAATCTTCCTCACATACGGACTTTGGTACTCGCGATTTACTGAGCATGGTTCTGTGATCTTGGATATTGTAGGGATTTTCAAAATAATAATCTTTCAAGCATATCAGGCGCTATTGATCTTCCTGCTAACGTCACACTCAGGTATGATGCTTAAGTTGCTTTGCTCTTGGGACCAAAATCTGGGTAATGGAGAATTCTGTCTTCACTCTCATTGTTACAGATTTTGTAAAGAGTTGTATTCTTTTACAAAAAGGTTGAAACTTATTCCACATCAAATTAATCATACATTGCATCCAGTATAACTTAATTATGTGACTATATGAACCTTGATGATTTTCAGGCTTGATGGAAATCCTCTTTGTTCCAATAACACTCTAGCTCAGCTCTGTGCAAGTGCTAATGACACAAACAGCTTGAGTCTAACAGACTCCAGTGTTGACTGTCCCCCTCAAGCATGCCCTCCTCCTTTTGAATATTCCAAAAAGTGTTTTTGTGCAGCGCCATTGCTCATTGGCTATCGCTTGCGAAGTCCCGGATTTTGCGATTTTAATCCGTATCAGACAGAGTTTGAGAACTTCCTGGCATCCAATTATAGTTTAATGAATCACCAGGTTGATATTGGCACCCCAGAATGGCAAGCACTTCGACTGCAAATGTACTTGAAGCTTTTTCCGGACTCCACTGATGGCAAAAGCTCCCAGACTTTCAATGAAAGCGAGGTTTTTCGTCTTTATAGCATGTTCGCAGGATGGGTTATTCCAGACCACGATTTTTTCGGACCTTATGAATTGCTCAACTTCACTCTTCTGGGTCCGTACAAGGATAGTGAGTCTCAGAAACTACTTATGATATGCCAGAATGCTTGGTTTTTGGATTTAATGCATACGTCATCATATTGACTATGAAAATGCGATCGAAACTTTTTTAGCGGGTTGAAAAATTGATGTTAATGTCTAGTATATATTGATGGCAAAAAAAAAAGTCTAATATATACTCATCCGGCCCTTAATATATGATCCAATTGTTAAGTTGGTTTTGGTCCTAAATATAAGACCCATTTCTCATATTTATTAATTTTCTCTAAATTACCTTTATGGATACTCCCTCAACCATAATCAAATAGAAGAGGAAGAGGGGCTATTAAAAAAAATGATTATAGTATTTTAGGAAAAATATGTCACATTTCTTATAATTAACTAACTTACCTAACTTTCTTAATCTAATCAAATTAGTTAAATGGGTCTTATATTAAGAACTTGAGGAGTATTGATTTAATTGATCGAATAATGTTTTCCGCTCATGCGGAGCAATTTATTCCCTAGCTTCCTTGAAGCAATTTGGCTTTCTCTGACTTAACCGATGCTCGCAAGTGTTTGCTTAACTCCCTTGCTAGTTGTTATATGTTGCTCTGTAGCTGGGTAAAGTCAGCCTTGGTTGACATTTTGGCTTGACTAGTGGCATCTCTTTGATTATTGTCGAAGCATATTTAAATTTTTCTCGTTCTAATGCTTGAATGAATACTATGAAAGACATGTAATAACTTTGCTGTGACAATTTCTGGAGAACCCTATGATTGATATCCCATGTTAAAAATTATGCTGTATTTTTTTGGGGTCAGAGTAACTTCAAACAGTGCTTCCCCTTAAATTGGATATTTAACGTCACTTGAGCCCATCAATAAAACCGTTGTTGCATAATATCTCCTGTATTCATCCATGTATGAATTAATTATATGATAATTCTCGTACTCCTCATCGTTGTCGCAGTGACGTTTGGCCCCGCTACAAGTGCGGGGATAAGCAAGGGTGCACTGGCTGGCATTATCTTAGGAACAATTGCCGGTGCAGTTACGTTATCTACAATTGTGACTCTTCTTATCATGAGGGCGCGGATCAGAGACTACCGGGGGGCACTTTCATCAAAGCGACAACGTGAGTACCTCTCTCAAACAAGCTAGCGTATTATATTTACTATATTGCTCTTTGACTTGTCCAAATTGCCAGGTCACAATGATAAGCGCTGGCGTTAATGACTTAATGCAAGTTTTTATTTTATCGAAGCCATATTTAATTTTTTTTCCCTTTAATTGTCGTTCAACGTGAAGCAGGAGCATCCAATTTCATAAAGACTAAGAATAAACCATATTTACTCTTTTTCTACCTTGTACTTGACAAAATAATCGAGAACTATGAGTTGACAATATCTTTCAAGTCTTGACATTGGCTTCTGTTTATTCACAGTTTCTAGAACATCAATAAAAATTGAGGGTGTGCGGAGCTTCACTTTTGAAGAAATGGCTTCGGCTACTAACAATTTTAGTGACTCCAGTCAAGCTGGCCAAGGGGGCTATGGGAAAGTATATAGAGGTATTCTCACCGATGGCACTGCGGTAGCAATAAAACGCGCACGGGTGGGATCACTGCAAGGTGAGAGGGAGTTCCTAACAGAAATACAATTACTATCAAGGTTACATCATCGCAACCTTGTGACTTTGGTCGGATACTGTGATGAAGGAGGTGAACAGGTACGTTTTGTTTTGAATTTGTGGAAATTGATTATATCTAGATTTTATTTTTATTAAATTCTGCACTGATATTGGTATTGTTAATTTCGTCATTGGTAGTTCTTGTATTAATGTCCTATCTGACTGTATGACTCACGTGCTCATAGAAATCTTCTTTTCATCTTTCTTTGGCTGTTTCGGATTTTTTTTTTCCTCATTTCAAATTGCTGCTTATACTTGCAGATGCTGGTTTATGAATTCATGCCAAATGGCACGCTAAGGGATCATCTTTCTGGTATATCTCTTGTTCTCACTATCTAAATTTGCAGTATGCTTCCTTGTCTTCTTAATGTTTATACTTGATTGCCTTTTACTGATAACTACGATATGAAACAACGGAAACTATTAAGTTTTCCCACCCAATTTTGTTCCAATATTTGATATTTGATGTGCAAAGAGATTCTGCTTATGTATTTCATTTTTACGACAGCTTACTCGAAAGAACCTCTGAGTTTTGGCATGAGATTGAGGATTGCACTAGGATCAGCCAAGGGCATCCTGTATCTACATACGGAAGCTGATCCTCCAGTATTCCACCGAGACGTCAAGGCCAGCAACATATTATTGGACTCCAGGCTCAATGCAAAAGTTGCTGATTTTGGACTTTCACGGCTTGCTCCAGTTCCAGATACTGAAGGAATTGTCCCTGGCCATGTATCTACAGTGGTAAAGGGAACCCCGGTAAGATCGTCATTGTAATTTGGCTAAAATTGCATGTGCAGCAGCCGTATCCTTACTTCCCACGAATTATTTCTAAAATTGCATGTGCAGCAGCCGTATCCTTACTTCCCACGAATTATTCCAGCACGTTTCATATGAGCGAGGTTAATGTTACTCAGTGACTGACCATCTCTTCGCTGCTTTAATTTTACAGGGGTACCTTGATCCAGAGTACTTTTTAACTCATAAGTTGACTGACAAGAGTGATGTTTATAGTTTTGGTGTTGTACTTCTGGAACTTTTGACAGGGAAACCGCCAATCTCACATGGCAAAAACCTTGTTAGAGAGGTATATCTCACACCTGGACTTAATTTCTTTCCCACAATGTGTGATTGGGTCAAGTTGGGGTAAAATTTATGCATTGTCGGGGCAAAAAGGAAGTTTAACTCCAAAAGATTTAACGCATTTGCCTGATAGAACATCTAGTTTTCCCCTTTTGCTATATCGCTCTCGTTCTTTATCCTTATGCATGCGAGTCAAATCCGACCTGGACATTTTTGCCAATTGAGCTTTAGCAATTATATCTGCTCCATTTCCTTTTTTTTTTAAGACATGGTATTGATTCTGTTACAGTGGTGGTATCCAACAATCATCTTGTCAGTCTTCACATTTTTTTGGGTGATATTGCTAGTGCTCACTTTTACCCTAGGTTTTTTTTTCCCCCAGAAAAGTAAATATTTGATCAAACTAAATTTATTTATATGTGACAGCAGTGTTTCTTGATCGTTTAATATGTTCAAGATACGAGTGTAATAAGTGCTTGATGTTAATCACCATTTCCAGATTACTGTTGCATACCAATCTGGTGAAGTATTCTCGGTGATGGATAGACGGATGGGGCCCTATCCTTCAGAGCACCTGGAGAAGTTCCTGACCCTGGCTCTCAAGTGTAGCCAAGATGAGCCAGATGCACGACCTAAAATGGCAGAAGTTGTTCGAGAGCTCGAAAACTTGTGGTCCATGATGCCCGAGTCCAATGCCAAGATACCTGAATATATATCCAGTGATTCTGGGAAATTATTCAGTTCACGGTCTTCATCCTGTGTTAGCAAAACTCCTTTTATATCGGGAGATACGTCTGGTACTGGTAGCGAACTTGTTAGTGGAGTAGAGCCAACCATCAGGCCAAGGTAGAGCCGACCAGCATTCATGGGGCGTAAAATATGAAAGTATATTGACCATGTGTGCTGAACAATGACCCCTTATTACCCTGTTTTCATTTATTCATATTCCTTAGGTCAACCCGTTGTAAAATAAACCCATAGAGCAATGACCATGTATGCTTTTGTACAGATTTCTTAGGGTCACCTATTACACTTTAAGTTCACGTAGTTGATGTTAGTCGAAGTGCTTAGAAATATGGTTTACACGGTTATGAGCTATCTTCCATAGTTGCATGGCAGCGAACTCCTGCATTTACACACACTAGTTCAGATCGATGCCCCTGAAGCAGTTTTAATTGCCTAGCAAGTCTCCTGTAAAGTGCTACTTTTACAGGCCCAGCAATTTCGCCAACCTAATTTATGCATGAATTTAATTTATGTTAGCATCATTAGTCGCTACATGAGCTACTGGTGCTTACGGAATAAAATTTAAGTATTTAATTAAAAGGAAAAAAAACACAGTTACCAAATTAAAATTAAAAAAAGGGGTCAAGGTAGGTGTAAAATGATTTTTCCCAAAAATACACCATTCTTGCGGCCAAAATACCTTCGTTCGCAACACAGCTCGGCCAAAACAAATTTCTCCTTGTCTCCACCCCCCCCCCCCCCCAAAAAAAAAAAAATCATCGACCTCGAACCAAACTTTTAAGATAAACGAGATTCATGCCTGGCCATAATCTTCAGCCGAGAATGAACCGAAGGGAGCAAGGCTTAAAAAAAGGGCTTCACCACTCACCAGTCACCACCAAATTCTTTTTTTTGGTCCAAGTGAGGGCCCAAGCCCAATAATCACCACCCAGATATTCCATATTTATTACGGATTGATAAGATTTAAAAATACTACCCTCAGTTCTAATTATAAGATCTCGCTTGTGGACTACAAATGATTGAAATGAGATCTTATAATTAGAACCGGAGGCAGTATTACTTAAGCATGTGAAAAAAAGAAGAAGGAAGTATTACTTAAAAGGCCCCCGTGTCACCAATCTCACTAGTTGGTAAGGTCTGTCAAAGCTAAAAAGAGCTCAAAGTCATAAAATTGATATTGCATCAAAATGCAGACAACAATCAACTCATATCATATTATTCGCCGGCTGAACAAAAATTGGGCAAATGTCTTTTCACCACAATAAATGATTATCCAAATAAATTCATGCTGTCGCGCTTGATCTCAATACCTGTGAGCCAACTTCTCTTTCTCCTGGTAGTGCTGAACATACCTACATCCATTCCATTGAGAGATGAATTATATTCACACTGGTAAGGTCATTTAAACTTCAAAATTTTCGCATTAATTTGATCCGCATATTACACCAAACAACAACTAGAAATAAATGTAACTATTATTAGTCATAATATCCCCAAGTAGAATCATTAAAACTTAAAAGAGAAGTGCCTTAACTGCCACCTGCAACTGCCATCACCAAAATATATGAATTAATGCACCATTTGCTCAAAGAAAGGCCAACGTAAGCTTGCTAGGTCCACTTCGTAATGAGTGAATTTTTTTTTCTCTTTTGGGATTAAATATGAAACTTGATTAACACGGAATAAAAAAGACAAAACCAAGCTGACACAAGACCCCACTGACCTCTTCAAAAGTCTATCAGATTCAAACAGTGTCAGTAATGCAACAAGATCAGGAATAGACGATTAATATTCAAAATTTATGGGGAATTTGGGAGAAGTGAGAAGCACTTGATTGTGAACACATAGATTAGAAAAATCTGGTAATACTACAGACTTTTCAATGGACTCCGTTCCAAGTCCACGTGACAAACAATATTTGCCTATTAAGTTAGGTATTCTATCAGATGTAAGGTCGGAAGGACTACAGCAAAGGAGTTATAACACATGATGCTGACTGGTAGATGGACCAGACTTTCTTCTCTTATACCAAGTGCTTAAGACCAAACTGCCACCACTGACACTAGACCAAGAGGATGTCTTACAATTAAGATGCTATTAACTAATAAAGTCATAATACGGCAATGACAAATATAACTTGCCACTTCTGTGAAAATACTTAAAGAAACCATAATCAACAGACTCTGCCATTCTGGACCCCCATTATTCTTAATATCTTGGTTCTCTAGCCCTTCTTGAAACAACGTGGGCATAAGCCGAATAAATCGTACCAGTTCTAAACAACAGGGTTCCACAATCCCGACAAGCACAGTTTCGGAGAAGGAAACCCATAATTACCCCGATTACATCAAATCAAATCCACATCACCAATAAAAATCAATAGGCAAATCGACAATTACATGCAATCAACAGAGACGAAAAGAGGAATCGAGGAAAAGAATAGACTCACGAGTAGGTGCCAACGAGAGGACCTAGCAAGAGAGTGGCGCTGATCCAATTCTCGGAGATCTTGTGGTGAATTTTGGTAGGTAAATCCTTCCAAAGCCCAGTCATCACCTTCTGTTGGAAAGGCGATAGGGTATAGATCACGGCCTTCAACTTCACCGGTTGCTTTCCCATCCCCTCCTCGTTCCGAATTCCGATTGCAAACCTCTGCTCGCCCGGATAAAAATCGAATTGCTAAATTGGGAGGAAACCAGGAAATGAGAATAAGCGATGGCTAGAAGTTGATCTCTGAGAGCCCCTATCGGTAGCTGGGCTTTAAGATGCCCGAGTCCAAGTCCAGTTATGCACCACCCTTTATGACTCTTTCTTCCCAATTTATAATCTTTGTTAAAAACAATTATTCCATTTAAAAATGACAACACTAACTCCTATTCTTAATATAAAAGTTACCTTGATTTTTAATTTAGTCTTAAATATAAAATATAAATTCACTTTATTTCTCTTTTTTTAATAAAAAAAGTCCTTATAGTAGTTGTACATGTTAAAAATTCCACTAAATGATAATTTTAACTAATACATATGATTAGCAAGAATATTCTAAAAAAGATAACACATATTTATTATAAGTAACTAAATTCTAAAAAAATTTTAATCTACTTAAATTAGTCAACTAGCTTTTATATTAAGTACTGAATCTTTTATCGATAATAATTTAACTTGATTAAATTGAAAAATACATTTTATGCATCAAGATTTTTAAAAAAAAAAAAAGGTAAATCATATATCTATATGTGTGTGTGTGTGTGTGTGTGTGTGTGTGTGTGTGTTATTTTTTGAGACGAGAATCTTTTCCACCATGAACAGAGGCTAACTCCTCTAAGCTATGGCGGCCAAAATTATCCTATAAAATATGATTAGACAATAACACCTTTTTTCACAGCGTATAATTTAATATACTCCTCTGGTTCTTAATATAAGACCCATTTAACTAATTTGATTAGATTAAGAAAGTTAGGTAAGTTAGTTAATTATAAGAAAATGACATATTTTTCCTAAAACACCATAATCATCTTTCTTAATATCTCCCTCTTCTATTTGATTATGGTTGGATCCATAGGGGTATTTAGAGAAATTAATAAATATGAGAAATGGGTCTTATATTTAGGACCAAAACCAACTCAAAAATTGGGTCCTATATTAAGGACCGGAGGAGTACCAAAAAAGTGTAATTTTAACACTTTTGTTAAATTCTGCATCTGGTCCTTATTATAAAATTCTGTTGACTAATTTGAGAAAACTAAAAAAATTAGTTAAGTTAGTTATTAACAATAAATATGTCTTGTCTTCTTTAAAATATTCTTACTAATAATATGTATTGACTAAAATTACTATTTAATGAAATTTTTAATGTATGTACTGCTATAAAAACTATTTTAAAAAACTAACAAGTATGAAATAAAATAAATTTAAACTTTTTGTTGTATACTATTTTACTCGTCATTTAACAGAATCACCAAAGGATTCTGAGTTTTTAACCGAGACTCCTGGCTCCCACATATCTTTTTTTTTTTTTTTGCCAACCAGTTCCCCCATCACATGTATAATTTTTTGGGAGAATTACATTCAAGTTCCACACAAGAAAAATAATCACTAAAAAGTCTCAATAACAACCTGAGCAGCCTGTAATGACAAGTCCTACAGTGAGAACGACAACCTCTAGGACTTGTTTTTCAATTGTTTTCCTTACTTGGGACCTCATTGTAATTTTTTCTAATTTTTTTTCTTTTTTTTGGAAGGGGGGTTCTAAATTCGTATAAATAATTAATGCACGAAATTGACCAGTTAGCAGATAGATTATAAAAGTTTAAAAAAACATGGAGCATTTACCATTCTGTTTTTCTTTTTGGCCAAAACAGCATATACCACAATTAGATGCCGAATTCCCAATCAATTAAGGACGAATTCAATCACTTATTAAGAATGCAATATATACATATATAATAAAAACAAGAAGCCGGAAGTGTGAAGATTCCGTGCAAAATATCAATGAAAGCAACAGATCCATTCAGCTTTGAAACTCTACCACCACTGTGAATGGTAAAAAGGGGTTTGGCTTAGATAGGGATGGAGAAGCTGATGAAGACATAAATGGCCCATGATGGACACTAGAAATCTAGAATAACCCCACTTTACAAAGACAATCATTAACAAGTCAAAGCAAAAGAGGATAATCTGGGCTCACTAAAGTTAAAGACAATAACATCCACATCTTGCCTTCGCTTCATGGGCCCTACCATACATAGACATTATCCTTAAGATATGCTCTTTTGCGTCAAAAAGAGTTTGTTAATCTTGGTGCACCTCTGGCTAATTATACTTTTGTCTCACAGAAGTGGCCGTGATCACCAAAGTGCTCTGTTATTGTGCTCAGTAAAGTAGACATCCGACAAACACTTCTCCATTTTAATACAATCAATAATCAATAAACAGTTTATATAACAATACGATTAGCTAGCTTACTAGACTGTTCATAACATCCCAGCAAACCCATATTTCTACATAGTATGATAACAATTGTACCATTTTTTTCAAGCCCACTTATGCAGTTGACTGTGACAATAAATATGTATCTCCTCAACACGATCGTTTCTGCAAGGTCTTCCTCTCATGCAGCTATACAGAACTTAGATACAGGAGAAAACATAGCTGGCTGACAGTGATTCTCAGCGAAAAAAACCACTATTGATCAGTTTTGGCCCTTTTTATTTCATTGGAAGTGAAGGGAGAGACACTACCACTCAGTTGAGGGCTCTCTTCCCTGAAGTTGGAATTAATCATTGCAAGCTCTCTTAACTGTTGCCTCTTATAAAAGTCTTGTGACTCATCCTGCATATGAAAAGAGAAATTTCATCAAAAATTCAATGCAAACCCGGGTTATTGATAATTTTCGCCATTGGTCAGTGTGTATAATAGAACATTTGCCTTGGAAGGAAAGAATCTTTTCTCTTTAATGCTTCTTGTAAGGGGATGTATTAAATATTATAATGCAATTATTCACGGGTTTTCATTTAGCAGCATAAACTTATGAGTTGTTAGGACAAGCATAGTCTCAATGAATCAATTCAACTCATGCTAAACTTTGAATGGAGTCCATAAATATTGTTAACGTAATCCCTAACAAATAGTGGATTAGTTGTCATAAGCGGTATTCAGAAACAAGACCAGAATAGTAAAGATGCAGCAGAAATCAGCAGACGAGTTGGGAGAATTAATGCACGAAATCTGACATTCTTCTAACTTAAAGAAACCACCAAAATACCATCGTGTGCCTGCTTTCCAGTGCATGGTCACAACTAAGTAAATGTTATACAAAGTTACTCGGTACTCAGATGATACAGAATGGGGCGGTTGTCATGGAAGAATGTGATTAAGATAGCCTGTGTAAAGTGTCTTTTAAGGAGTAAATCATGAACTTTGCGAAGAGTTAGAGAAAGATACCACAGGTTTAAGCAGCTCTTCTATGATTTCTTGTGCTTGCCTCAGCCTAATATCAACAATATTGGCAGACAGTTCAGCCTCAATCAAAATGTGCAGAGGATCATTCAGATGCTCATAGCCTGGCCTTCCCCTTAATAACTCCTCCTTGGGAATTAAAAGGAAGAGAAAGGTATAACAGTTACAAAACAACATCGGCTGTGGATGGAACCTTCAAAAACTAGGGCAGAAATTCACAAAAGAACTAAAATGGTTTCATGGCATTGAAAGAGAGAATACCTTATCTGGGTCTTTTATTGAGCCTTTCCCTCTGATAAATACACGGCAACCTGTGGTAGCCTCCACCCGCTTCAGTGAATTACCTCGGGGGCCAAGAAGACGACCAACAAAATTGAACTGATAATCAACTGGATTTAGTGACTTTAAGTTGATGGAAAATGTGTTTACAAAACAGGAGATGCAAAACAGAAGGTTGAGGTATGAACAAAGTAAACTGCATTTAAAGGATCTACATATATTACATTCGGATAGGTCTCCTTAGGAATATCCAAGCGCATTATCCTCTTCACAATGGGAGAACTGGGAACAATTGGTGTTGTTTGCCAATCCACGTTCAATCCCTGTGCTCCAGCAAATCTCTGATGTATGATTAACTTAGTCCTTTAGTAAATGAAACAAGCTAAACTGAAGAACAGTCAAGGGAGACAAAAGGACAAACAGGTGAAAGATGAAAGATAAAGAGTGCAATAGAAGAGAAGCACTAGTATACTTGATAAAAATGAATCAAGAAACAGCTACTGAGAGTTATGAAACACCAAGCAAACTAGAATATACTACCTCCAGTCCTATTTATAAGACCTTGTTTGTAGACTATAAACGAAGTCTTATAATTAGGATCGAAAGTAGTATTACTTAAAAATAAATAGCTCGAAAGAGAAAAGCAGCTTTGTCACCCCAAAAACAAGACGCTCAACTGGCAGAAGGGAAGTGCTGACAATCGGACTCATATAAACAAATAAACAATACATAAATAATTTTATGGGTTAATACAAACTTTGGTATCTCAAGTTTGCCTTCATTTTGGTTTTGATCCCTCAAATTTTAAAACTATAGGTTTTGTTCCTCAAGTTTCTTTTCGTTTATAACATTAGTCCTTATAATCTAATAAAAACTTGAACTATTTTGCCCCTTGAGGAACCGAAACCTATGATTTAAAACTTGATAGACCAAAACCAAAATGAGGACAAACTTGAAGGATCAAAGATTATATTAATCCTAATTTTATAATTTATTTTCAACTTAAGGAGATTGTAGGAACTGGAGAGGGTTGAGTGGTACAGTGATCATCATAGGATGAAATGCAGACCTCATGTGAGAGGCTGTTCCAGCCAGTGAGGTTTGGTGTTATATCTGGTGAAGCCATAAGGCTTGGACTCCCAAACTGCATTCTGTCGAAGTCACTAAACCCTTGGTTCAGCATCAATCCGTTCTTGCCAGAAACTCTTAAAATCTCTGATTGAAGGAATATTGAATGTTAGAGCTTTTATATGAATGCAAAACATTAATAACGTAAATGAATTCTTTTCCTGATGTAAGTTGTAAAAATTCTTTCTAAAGGCTCCATTGCCATTCTAATCCAAAGAAGCAGTCTAATTATTTTTTTTCCAAAGAGAGGATGATGTACTATGAGCAGATTGTGGCTACCCTCAATCAAATTTAGAGCCTTTTTTTGTTTTTGGTCCAATAAATTTGGAGCTATCATGTACGTATTTTAAAAGAAACACAGATGTACAGGCATTATTTGTTCATCGAATTATATCCAAACTCAATCTACGATGCTTCTTTTTCCTGAATTGACGACCTATAGAAGTTATCTTTGATTTAGCAATATATTAGTGTCGGTACGAGCCTGCAAGGAATTTTAGATGAAGTAAATTATCATGTTTCAGCTTCAAAAATGGACATAACACCGCACTTTGAAGAAGACAATAATCCCCAAGAGAAGAATAACTAGAGAAACTAGTCCAAGGAAACTGAAAATTGAGTTGATAATTGAGCCTTCTTCAAATCAAATGAGAGGTGATATCAATCAATAGAAACACTAAAAGAAGAGCATGGAATTCAAAACACAAATAGAATCCTTGAATTGATGAAACAAACCCACCTTGATTCAGGAGTCGGCTGCATAGAGGAAGGACTTCCATGAAAGGTGCAAGCTTCTGATGTTCTGCCAACAGCTCCGCTAAGTACTGACTAGAAGAAAAGCAAATAAGAAACTAAGGCTATGTTTTCGATTTAGCTATGAAACACCATAATTATCATATATGCACTCGCGGATCATTGAAAGAAATCGCAAGTTTTATTTTGTACACACACACACACACATATCAGAACAATCGACCCCTACCTTTCAACATCAAAATTGCTTCTCACGTTTATACTTGGTGAATTGGCCCTTACAGGAGCAGGTGAGGAAATTTGATTATACAACCCAGACATCAATTTCTCCAAGAATTTGCTTTAGCCAGAAAGATTAGACCCAAAAAAATCAAAGGAAAGAAGATGGGAGAAGGATCAGAATCCAGCAAACACACAATCAATGACCTGTATACTTGAAAGGCAAAAGAGAAAATGGTGGGGGAGAACCTAAGGCACAAAACAACAAACAGATGGAGGAGGTTCACTTTTGTAGCTCAGTAGTAAAAGCGAGCTTTTAAGGCTGTATCTCCCTCTCCCTCTCTCTCTCTCTCTCTGTGTCTCTCTGTTTCTGATTTTATTATCCCCCCGTTGGCTTCTTTTGCATACGCAGAGCTGTGAAAAAAATTTTCACGAGAAACTCTCTAATCTAAAACTATGTATTAGATTGAAGGAAAACAGATAAGAGATAGAGGGAAGTCAAAAAAAATGAAGACAACTTGAAATCAATACAAGATGAGAGAGAGCAAGGAATAAGAAATAAAATTGGTGAATGACAATATCAAGTATGGAGCACGCTCCAGTAAGGGTGCGTGGCGAGAGAGTTATTCAATCAACAAGAGACCTAATGAGCAATGTGGGTCACTGGTTCTCTCTGTCACCAGATCATGAGCTTCTTTCTAGACTGAGAGAAACAAAACCAATCACCCTCATGCTTCACGCTTATAAATAATCAAATTCATGTCACTTCTTCACTTTTACCTTCCCCCCCTCCACGCCAACTTTTACTAGTCATTTACAGCCACCAGAAATAAATATAAATAGGAAGAATTATCATAAGGTTTCAACCTTCAAGGAAGAAATTTAATTAACACAAAGTCCTAATAATAAATAACCAGTTTAAATATGTTGTTATTCCTTATTCTGAAATTCATGATTGCTTGTTGATGAACATTAAGATAATCAAATTAGAGATTGTAATTTTCTCATATAAATATCCTCCAATAACCTCCAAAGCTAACATAGGAACAGCTCCATACAGCTTCCTCTCCCTTGTGTTGTAACATATGAAAAAAATAGTTGAAAAAAAGACATTGCAGTAATTCAGAAATAAATATAATCCCTCCTCAGCTTTATATATATATATATATATATATAATCCCCCCTCTCTCACTCTCTCTCCCCATTGAGTTAGACAGCCATAAATATAAGAGGTCAATCTATTTTCATATTTATTATTTTTTTAAACTTATTTGTCTAACTTATAAACTAATATATATGTATATATAATTAAATATCATATAAGGGTATTTCCAAAAAAAGTATTTGTTATGATTAATTAATTTGATTTCATTAATCTATTTAAATTAGTTAGGGTAGCTCTTATATTAACTGCAGAAAAAAAAAAAAGTTATCTTGTTACTTATGAAAATATAATTTTCAGGGGAAAAAGATAATTGTGACAGCTTAATGGCCTCTATTATTGGTTCCTACCATCATTTCCCTTGCAATTGTCTCAAATCTGATACGTCTTAATGCTTCCACGTCACCGCCTTTAGTTGTCTTACTCCAACTCGCCAACCCCCAGCCAATTCTGTTTGGAAATTTTTTATTTCAATATTTTCTACATAATTTTATTTGAGGCCAGAATTAATATTGCTGTGGGAAAAAAATCTGTGCGGTTAATGTGTAGGTGATATTATTTTTTTTCTGGTCAAAATTGATGTGGTCGATTTAATTTAGGAGAAAATGACGTGAATGTCATTTAATAATAAATTAATGCATGTAGGACCCGATGGGAATTATGAAAATAATGTGGAACTATCCCTTTGCATATGTCATCGCATTTGATTTTAGAGGCTCCAAATTTTGAGGAGTGTGAAAGAAGAAAAATAAGAAACTGGGAGAGGAAATCTCAACTCCTGGAAAATAAATCTAATTGCAAGATATGATAGATGCTTTTAATTTCTACAAGAATTAGTAATGGTCTTTATTGAAAATAATAATAATTTATACTCGTACTGCATTAGCATTTTATAAAATTAATTTACAAGACTTGTTATAAGGAATGAGGAATTATTTAATGAGTGATTTGAAAACACAATACAGATGGCCTCAAATAATCTAGAAGAATGCTTTCCTTCTTAAAACATGATTTTATTCGTACGTCAATTATTTGTTCAATTGGTTGTGAATTGTAGGTATTGGTCTATTTGACTAGAATAATTCAGAATTATTGCTTAGTTTTGAATTTTAGAATTGAATTTTAGAATTCATTTCATGTCTATACTCTCAACTGAAATTTCAAAAAATACTTCTCTAGTTCTATTTACAAGTCATGTTTCACAAATACTAAGATAAACCTTAAATTTTATTAATTTTCATTTAAAATTTAATATTTTCTAACTTTATTCCTATTAAACAAAGTCAACACAACAATAATAAATGATAGGTAAAATTATATATCCATGTAAAAAAAAATTTCAATACTTTATAGATAGAACCAGAAAAATGTTTTCTATCTCTGCCATATAAATAAGACCAAATGAGTATATAACAACCAATAATTTTAGAGACATAAGATATTTCGATGCCTTTCAATAAAAATATAAAATAATAATTATTGATAAATAATAGTAACATCATATCATACATCTAATTTCTTTCTTTGTTGGCTGCCAAGTGGACACACGGAAGTTTAGTTTCTTAATATATTTAATGCTGACAAATCATCAGTGTTGGTTCAATTTCAACATGTTTATGAAAATAAGGAACCTCCTGTTCAAGAAACATGCGAATACTCAGCACCGATATCCTAATCACCTAAAAATTCAAAAATATTTTATAAATTGAAGAATTAAAATTCATTTCTATCTTAAAAATATTCAGGACAAGTTATAAATACCTTTAAAAAAATTACAAAGTAACGAAACACATAAACATGCTAAAACTGATGCGATACTATGTATTACGTTACTCCATTTTACAGCATTTTATGGTCAACATTATATTTTTATGGTCAACACTGAATAAATAATGTATCAAAAGATGGACGTTAATTATTAAAAAAGAATAACATTGCATCAATTCTGAAATATTGAAAAAAAAAATTGAAGAGTGGGTCTAAACAAAAAGTACCACTCTTCAATTTTTCGGTAGTTGAAACTTGAAAGCGGCAAAGGTACCACCAAAACGGTGCCGTAAGAGGAACAGTACAAAATGTTAAATAGAAAGCGACGCTTGTTGCCCCTGCACCCAACAAACGTGGTCTTATTAGGTCCTCCCATGTGACTTCTTCCCTCTAGCAGGTGTGCACCGGACGGTATCTTAGGTTCTTTGTTTTCTTTTCTCTTTTACTTTTTAAGCCTTTCCGCTAAAATTGTTTTTTTAAAAAAATATATCAGGGTATTGGAATTTTTGAATAAATTTTCAGACAATTGTAATTTATTTCACTAATTATTATTGAATCGAATGAGTTCAGCTCGCATTTCTTAAGTGAGAAAAATTATTTTTATTTAAGATTTCGTAATGTTTAAATCTGAATTAACAGATAATATCAGATATCATTTGGTTGTAAGAAATATATTTGCCCTTTGAAGAATCAACGGTCCATCAATTTTTTTTAAATGGTCTTATGTGTTGGCTCACAGCGTTACTGGGCCACTGCATAGCTCCAACGTTGATCATATGGCCATTATGTTTTATTTCGTACCAAAGAAATTTCCTTTTTCTCCCCGTATTTTTTGAATAAATTGTTAACCAGGCCATCTCTATCAGAGTATCAGGATTCGAAGTTTTCATGCCAGGATAATACTCGTCCGGTAAGACACTTATATATATATATATATATATATATATATTATATAAGGTTCTTATATTTAAAATCAGAGTAGTAATTTTTTTTAAATCTGATTTTACACGTGTAAGTAAATCAGGCCTGTTGAAAATGAGGGGGGCCATCCTCATGGCTTGTCGCATGCTCTGGGATTTTTTTAAAAGATGATGTAAGCCTTTTTCTCCCAAAAAAAAATCAACTTTTTAATTCTAGAAACATTTTATATAATTACCAAGTCAAGGTTCTCTGAAAATCGGCGCTACTTTAAAAAAAACTCAAGCCAGCGAACATGGCAAGCAAAAGACAGGGTTATTTGGGATTGCATTTGCCCCTAAAAAATCCGAGCTTGTTATAAGAGACGTTTGGTGTTCCAATGCGACCATTGTGTTTGGCTGCCTCCAGCAATTATAAGACTAGGTTAATTAATTTTAAAAAAACTATTAAATTGTCTAATTATAACGCATCTTACATGCCCATCTAAAATATTCAAGTATATCACTAGATTATATGATAATTTATAAGTGAGACAAATTAATTTGAAAAAAATATAAACAACTTAAAATAATTTAATAATTTTTTTTGATATTTTTAATTTGTCAACCAAATTTTATATTAAGTCTAGGAGGAGGGAGGACTTTTTTGATTGGGCTGACTTGGTAGCTCATATCAAAGGAGCGGTGCCCGTAATCCATTTCATTTATGCAAAGCAACACTCTCAAAACCACTCATTCATGTTAAGGGCAGGTTGTTATAATGGTAGCGCCACATGTCACACTTCTATAAGATTTTAAATGTTTGTGTGTGCGAGTGTTTAATTGCATAATTTTTTTTTTTTAAAAAATCATCCATTCGTCAACTCTCTCAACAAAACCATGAATCTTTTTTTGACCTGGAGCAAAACCATGAATCTTATTATGAGGGACTTTCACTTTTGACCTCATTTTTAGATAAACGAACAGTTGCGTTAGGAATCTCCTGCTCACCGACATGAATCTTGCTCCATATCTAGATATGTGTGCGAGTTTCGTTCTCTGGAAGAAACTATCAGAAAATAATCAAAATATACATTCAGCACGCTTTACACATGGCGCAACGTGGATTACATGCTTCCCCAGAATCCAAAATAGCGCATTCAAGCCCAAAAATTGGATCATGGGTCGTCTTCTCTCCTTTTCTTACTTATTCTTCTGGGCTAGAGCCCATGACCCAACAAGAGAAGGATGAAATGCCGCATCTTAACTAATCACAGCCCATATCTGAGACTTCTTGTTTGTGCATGTTGGGCCCATTAATCTGTCAAACAAAAATGCTTTTCATTTTTCTGAAGCAGTAGTATTTGACTATTTTCTTACTTTAACTTCAGGAAAAATCTCCAAAAAAAAAAAAATCTTCTTGAATTTCAAAATTCTAAATTAGTCTTATTTACTACACTTTAATAACAATTGGTTAAACTTAAAAAACGAATGACAACACACTTTTTAGTAATTTCTGATTTAGACTTTTGAGATTTAAAAGATATTTTCCTGAAATTTTCCCTTAAATCTATAACTACTGTGCCTACTTATTTAGGCCGAGGAAAGATCTTCGGGGGAACAAGATCATGCTTTCTTCCGATGGTGCTGGTAAAATGTTTTACAATGGTAGCCGGATCATATAGATTCACAAAGGGCATTTACCAAACGCCAAGGATCTTCTGCGAAACATTATCAATATGTTTTTCACACGGATTGAAGGCTGCTGGGATGCATGGGATATTGTC